CTAACCCCAGATAATTCATGATAAGGGCAAAAGGAAGAATTTAATACACGGTTATATTACAATAATCGGCCAAATTTGCAGAGACAAATTAATTAAAAAAACTCGAAAATTCAGTCCTTTTTATTTTTTAAATTCAAAATGCGTGGTAATGCATTATTTTAACTGGTTTTACCGTGCACGCACACATACGTTAGTGTTGACCGGTAGCCAAAAACGTTATTGCCCGTAAATCACATTCCATTTGGGATAATTTCAAATACTTAAATTCGATTTCGATTTCTCGATTGAGAATAAAAATGCATTTTCAAAATGCATGCATGTGTGTGTCTAAGTCGCTGAACTCAGAGTTTTTAATCATTGAATTATTACCCAGTAGAAACGCAGTCTAGTACAAAACACGAGCTTCAAATTAAAGTAAGTTCATTATGTTAGTGTGCGTGAGTCGAATGTTGTTACTACCTTGTCACCCGTACACATACACGGCTTTCAGTAATACCAGTTTCTAGCGTTGGCACAACTTAGTTATCAGTCGCATTACAAGATAATTGTTCAAATCTCTAAAACATAATTGTGCAAATCTCTATTATATAATTGTGTAAACCTCTAGACAAATTTTATGGAAATATAAAATACAATAAAATAAAGGCGATAATAATGCCACTAATATATCTTTATTTTGCATAATTCAATAGTAAAAAAATGCAGCATGCAGCAGCAAATATAAATATATTTCGTTATACACAATTATAAGATCGAACGCAGTAAGGACATCGGAATCGGATCGAATCATCGGAAGTTCTTAGTTCAGTGTGTTTTTTTATACTTGTTACCTCAAAATTCCGTCACTTTATAAATTATTTGGAAGTTTTTTTTATTTGAAAGGATATATTTTCAGATTAGTCCCATATACATGCTAAAATTTTAATTTTAGTTAACCGCTTTTAATTGATAGCAAATAAAAAAAAATCTTTATTTTGTATTCTAAACTTTGACTTGGTCAATGAACAAAGCAATAAAAATAAACAGTCGCGTTAAAATGACGTCAAATGGTTTTTAATAATTCGTACAGCGCATGATGTGCCGACGACTCACAAGCAGGACACTTGAACTGATTCAATGGAATTGAACTAAAAGCTAGTTATTACGTGTTATAAGCATAAAATAGCAGATTGACGCTGCTGTGTTTCGGTGAGTGAAAAGAACCGGAAAGCTTGTTTACCGGAAACGAGCCACTCCACACTTGTGACAACGCATCCGAATTTTGATTCATAATATAGAATGTATAAAACTGTCCGGAGTCAGGAAGTGGGCGATGTTTCAAACCGCCGAAAATCGAAAACACCAAAATTCGTAGGTTCTGCGCTTGATCTCTCTCCGGTCATGTCGGATCGGAGAGAGATCAAGCGCTCGGAGAGTCCCATCGGACTATGAGAGAAAAGGAATAGAGAATGCATCTGAGCTTACGCTTACATTTTAGCCCTATAATCCAGTCCTGGGCAGTTGGTTAAAATATGAATTTATTAAAATGAACGAAATAAACGAATAAACAGCAGTTGACGCACTTCTACTTGGTTTTATAAAATATGTTTTTGTATTACCCTTCTAAACTACAAATCTATCTTAATTTAAGTATACACAGTTTATTATAAACAAAAGATTTTTAATGTATATGAGTATTTATAAAATACACAAGTATGTCTTATACTGGCCGTTTAGTGGCAGTGTAAGAAAATTTGCTACTTTATATCGTCCCGTTGGTATCACAAAAAGCGACAGATTGAAACAAATCAGGAGATGGGCAGCAGCATCTTTTTAATAACAACTAAAAAAAATTAAAAATAAAGTTATCAACCTGCCTGCTAAGCGTGGTATCTATGGCAAGTATTCTCCCTACGAGGTAATCTAGTCGTATAGATGATGCCTATGTTAATCAGTGGAATTTTAATAGGTCGTGACATAACTATAACCATATTATTAAGCTTACAAAGCTCCAGATAGATGTAAGAAACACGCAATAATATTGTTGCGCGCCATAATTAGCGCCTGATATATGGCGGCTGATTATAAGCGCCACCTGGTATCAAGCAACATAAATAGGTGCGTCAAGATCTTTCTAGAACTCTCCCACTAGCGCCATCTAGTATCGAATGGAAGAACTAAGATTTCTAGAAAGCCCACACTCGAACTTTATGCACCTAGTCAGTCGGGGCCGATATTTGCTGGAATATTCTGGATTTTTTGATGGCAAGCCTATATAAAGCCGTTGAAAGCCGCGATCGAGGCAGTATTGAATTGGCGATACGAGCAAAGCTTTCAGAGTGAAGTAAAGTGAACTAAAGTTTTAAGTGTGAATAATTATTAGTGTGATTTAGGATTTAATTGGTGATCAGTAGTTAAAGTATCTATTTTGGTATGCTAAGCTCGTAACAATATTGAACACTTGACAGAAAAAAGACATGTAAATCCATAAAAATTCTAGTCAGACGTGAGTGACGTTTTGCCAGATTTAAAGCAGAACCGAGCTTAATAACGTGACAATATAAGCCTCTCAAAACATACAACGAAGTATTGAATATTGATAAGCACAGCATACAACATTTGTATAAGAAATAATTTTAAAATTTGTTGCGATTCCCTTTTTACCTTATCTGTATGTTATAATGTGTTTTTATTTCCACGAAGTGTTTTCTATTATAGCCTGTAAAAGTCCACTGCTCATCATAGATTTTGCAAATAGGTGGATGGGCAACCGCAGTTATTTACTATTTTGAGTTGTTGTCAGGAAAATTCTGCCCATTTCCTGTTTAAATTTTCCTTTATCGCCTCTTACGACACCCACGACAGGATATTATTGCACCAGCGCTACACGATATTCCACTGCCACTATAATAGTCCGGTATAACTGTCAGTGCTAGAGTGTAATCGCAAGGCAGACACACAATTCGACAGGTCAGTAATTCGACACGACCGGATAGATATCAGGCGCAAGACTAACTTTGCATGCTGTCAGTGCATAGGGATGAAATAGCGCCACCATCTTGATTCTGAGCTGCCACTGAGAATTTCTTGAAAGCTAGATCCAATAACTGATTACGGCGCGGCAGATTTGACACATGAGAGGAATCACGTGTTCGACAATAGACCAACAAAGTACATGGTCAAATGTACTCGTAATTTAACATAAAATAAACACGTGATCGTTTGGTAAGTGGGTGTTATACAGTTGTATGGATGATTAAAGCATAATCTTTTTTTAGTGGATGAATGTTATCCCACACTTGGATTTTCCTGTACTGTGGAGGCAGTTTACAAACATAAATTTCACAAAGACAAACATCCTGACTCGGAACCATCATTTGTATGACATATAAATATTTGTTCCGTACGGGATTTGAACCCGCGGCCCGTAGCGCCACACCTCAAGCTAAGCCACTGCGCCACAGATCCGTCGTCACAACTTTTGCTGCTGCTATGAATTGGCGATTTGGATATTTTACACACCATTTACAACGTCCATGAACAAGCCTAAACAAATACTGGCATTTAGCAAAGTCGAACCGCTGAGGACGACTTCGAAGTAGCTTAGAGTTGAAATCGCTGAAGCCCATGGAATGTAATTAGTCTCGGTTACTAAATAAAGTGAGATCTCGAAGGCGTGTACGTAGTTAAGTTAAAAGCGTACTTCCATTTCTTGCCAAGTTAAAAGCGTTGTCCACAATCTGTGTACGGTTCAGAAGATGGATGGTTTGATGGCTTGCGTTCAGAACTTTGCTTGCCTGTTCTCTCCATCGTAGTTGACGCGATAATAACATGTTTGTTGTTTATTGATAATGTACAATTCGGATTTGAATGACCAGGGATATCAACCACTATTGCAGGAAAACCTGAGGTGCCCAGATTTGTAGGCTAGTATCTGAAAAATCCGCATTAATACTGCACTAACGTATCAAATTAATAGACACATGCTAGCGGTCCGTGGAACTCAACTCTCGGTTTGTTAGAAAACAGTCCTGTGAAATAAAAAGCGACTCAGCGCTTGGAGATCTCCTGACATTAAGAACAGGTAAACATTCTTGGTTTGTCCAACGATCCAAAATTTCTGATAATGGGTAAGTGATGCTAATTGACGACTCTTCTAACGCCTGTTGAAGAGCTGTTGAAGAGCTTTCTTTAGGACAGACAACACGGCATGAATTATTGCGTAAATAGGGACAGCAACAGCGTTGAAAGTGCCGATGATTTGAGAAGGAGTGTAGGATGAGTCATTGAATTCACGCTGAGCACAGCATCATTTTGGAAGACATTTTGTAGTAAAAGCAAGAATTGGCTCATAATCCGCTATTCTGGTATCACCAAATCAGTGGCGAAGTTTGCGAAACCTTCTATTTAAAACCTTAAACCGAGAGAGTCTCTTAGAGAAAATTTTAAAGAAATAAATAAATTAAATTTGGCCTCGCAGTATAATTTGATTTATGTTCACAAAAACAATGGTAGTTCTAGTAAAAAATGTGATATACACTCTGTAAACACTAGGAAAAAACACAAGCTAGTGATACCAGTTTCTCGACTCCACAGAGTCAGTGCTTCATTCTTAGCGCAATGTATACGCTATTACAACAAAGTCCCAGAAAATATACAAGGTCTCTCTATTATCAAGTTTAAATATTAATTAAACAAAAACTGTATAAAAAGGGTTATTATGATATAAATGAATACATGGTTGATAATAACCCGTGGGAATGAGGTAGTCGCTTCCAAGCTGTTTCCAAAATAAATTTTATAAATCTTTTGTGACCATTGACATTGTACAATTTATTTTTAAAAAAATATCCCGCTGGGTTTTTTGCTGGTTCTTCCCAGGGCAGAAGTTTTTTTTTCGAACCAGTGGTAAAGTAAAAAATTGACTTTCAATAAAAATTATTTTAATTTATATTGAATAAAAAATTATTCTATTCTATACTATTATATTCTAACTAATTCTTTTCTATTCCATTCTTCGTTCAGCCATTTGTAAGTTCAAGTAACAGGGCTGACTTCGTTGCCGAACCCCATATGGCTGTGTTCTTGTGACAAATGAACCTGCCAATGGTTTGTCTGGTACTCGTAGTCATAATGCCATTTTGTACCAGGAGAGCTACTTCCCTGTAAATAACAAGGCCCCAGTTCTCCATAGCCCCGGCAGCAAAATCAGGGACAGCGGCTTTGTCCATCATTTTAGCATTCGGGAAATCGTAAGCGAACTTCGTATAATTCTCCAAAGCGATCATGTTTCTTTGACCGAAACCCATGGCAAAAGAGAACGTGTTTTGGGTACCTGGTCTGGAGTAGACTCTAAATGGTACATTATAAATTGGGCTCTGTGCGGTAGTGACGTATTCAAATTTAGAAACAAAATAGGCTAAAAGGTACGACGAAATGACCAACGTGTCCTGAAATTCAAATTTATGGAATCTCTGCACGTCAATTTTCAAAAGATCAGTCATTTCAGGTATTTAGCTTCTTACCACTGGATATTCAGGAAATGGTTGTTCTGAATACGGCTTTATAACAAGGCACATCGTAACATGGAAACGCTCTTCAAGCAAAAGTACGTTACAACTTTGAAGTAATAAGCCGCCGGGGTGGGTCTTATTTTTGCTAATTTCATCATTTGAAAGATTAATAAACAAATATTATAGAAATAGCTAAATTTTATGGTGATCATGCAGCAGAAGATGAAGCGGATGAGTTCTAATAGCTTATTAGTAGTATCTATGGAATAAAATATGTTTCATAATTAAGTAAAATTTATGATATTTTAGTTTTTTAGGAAGAAATGAACATATCGATACGAATAAAAGATTTTTTTGTGTCTTTGAGCTCTTTTATTAATACTAGACTGGTTAATAGTAATAAAAATACTATTCTATTTTTTTACTAACAATCTCTAAGTCCGATAAAAATCCTTAAGTCCTATTTCCAAATCCAAAATCCCTGATTACAAAGGTATTCTAAGTCCAAACATATTTTTACTACTTTTCTTATATTAATACAAACATTTTAGATTATCAGACATTATTTTTAAAAACTTCCTAAACTTTATTCTTTGACAATCATTCGTATTTTTAACATTTAAAAATATCATTTCAAGGACTAAAATAAAAGTTTATGTGCGAAAATTCCAAACTAGAAAAAAAAAGAAATTGGAACATCTTGAAATATATATATATATATATATATATATATATATATATATATATATATATATATATATATATATATATATATATTCAAGATAGATATATGCTATGAATATGTAGATCGGAACAAAAGTTAAATTTTTATCTATGGTAATACGTGACGTTGAAAGTCCTCCCCGTGACCATGGGTGCTGTAAAGCGCTCGAAACGTCGGGTATTTATAGTTAAATATACGCGATAAAACCCGTAAAAACTAGTATTATTTAAATGTCTAGTGTTTGCGTAAATATAAGAAATCATTATGTAAAACTTTTATTTACCAACAAAGTAATAAGCGTCACATATACAGTTTGCGTGATAAACAAAACATTTCACACATTATTTATTCCACCAACATAATCTCAGTTTATTATCGGTCTAAATTGTAATACCCTTAGCCAAATTACTTCGCTCTATAAAACACATGTTGCGAATTTTATCGTACAGCTTCACGCACATTTTAAATATTAAATAGATAGGTCAATATAAGAACAGCTGTCGAAATGCGTGTTAGTACAAGTAATTATATTGTTCCGCTATGTATGTTATATCCAATATTTTCAAAAGCTTTAATTTTAACGAACTTAATCGGATTTTAGTACATCTAATTTTTTATTTCTATCAAAATTTATTATTTTAACAAAATAGAAGTACCTAATAAGCTTCAATCCACCAGATGTTATTACAGTCTACAGAAACCTTTTTTATAGAATAAGGTTGACAAACAAGAACACAGCCTACCTGTTGTTGTTCACCCCAGAGGTCTTAGATAGACCGCCTCGTATCCAGTCTCTCCGGTTCTCACTCACCATACCAAATACAGCAGCATAAAGCTGCTATTTTACGATGGTATTCTCCGGTCCGAATCCAGTCGAGCCAACTCATTCGTATTTCAACCATAATATAGCTGCATCATGAAAGATACATATAAAAATTTCCCGTAAAATATGAAACTAACATACCTAAAAACGTTTGAAATATCGCCCGTAGCTAGCTTTCACATGCATATCAATTAGTATTAACTATTTTAGGGCAAGTCCTAAAGAATTTTTAGTTCGTTCATTCATTTAATAATTTGTCTGCAAATGACTTTCTACATTTTAAGTTAAATTTCGCTTAAATTAAGATCTTTTTAAAATTTTACATTAAATTAAACTAATGTTAGGTACAAATGATATAGATCTCAGACGTCTTCTTTCACTATTGGCCGTGTGAGGAACCTTACAGTTACTTAGCAAGCTATGGAGAGGGCTATGCTCGAAGTGTCTCTGCCTTATGGATGTAAATATACAACGGATCGGTAAGCTGAAGCGGTAATGGGCCAGCCATATTGTTCCAAAATCCCACAACCGATAAGGAAGAAAGATTGTCGAGTGATAGCCTTGTTCCATTAATTAAACTGTAGAGTGAGCCCCACCAGACTTAAAGACCTGGTAAAAAAGTAGAAACTCCGTGATTTTTGGTATTTCTTGGGGGAGGCTTATGTTTAGCAGTAGTCTTATGATGACCTATAATGAGTATGATGTTGATTATAATAAAAGCTTTATGCTTGTTTGTCAACCTTATTCTATAAAAAAGGTATCTGTAGACTGTAATAACATCTGGTGGATTGGAAGCTTATTAGGTACTTCCATTTTATTAACATAAATTGATAGAAATAACAACTAATACTGTTAGATGTACTAAAATCCGATAAAGTTAATTAAAATTAAATCTTTTGAAAATATTGGATATAATCTACATAGCGGAACAATATAATTACTTGTGCTAACACGCATTTAGACAGCTGTTCTTATATTGACCTATCTATTTAACATTTAAAGTATGCGTAGCTGTACGATAAAATTCGCAACGTGTGTTTTATTGAGCGAAGTAATATGGCTAAGGATATTACAATTTGGACCGATAATAAACTCGCTAGTAAGGAATAAAATTTGAATCAACTCTAAACAGGAAAATATTTTGATGTCTCCCTCTATTTAAAATTATTTTCGCCACCCTTAATTTTCATATTGCTTCTTTTGTATATAAACGAATAGAAATTCAAATGAGAAAAAGCAAAAATTGTGAATAATGTGGTCGGCATCCTGAGACTTACAAATTACGATGGAAAGGAACCCGCGGGTATGAAGGCCTTTATTAAGCAACTAAGGAGAGATTAAAGGGGACTTTGTGAAACGTGTAAAATTTACAAGTAATGATGTTCTTATATTAAAGCGACTACTACACACTGAATAAAATTATTTTCATCGATTCCATCGCGTTTAATTTAAGCGTATTTTGAATTCCCAGCACTTCGTTTACTTTGGTATTATTCGTAATAAGTAAACACATGACTTTTTGTATCAAATGGGATAAAAACGTCGGTTTAATTGTATGTATTGATATTATATAGGCATTTTTAATAGGGGGGTGGGGGTGGGGGAATGAGCATGCGTCTCGCCTGATGGTAAGTGTTTACCCATGAAAAACTGCAACATCACTACAAGTGCGGACGCCGCAAATATGACGGATGATCGCCGGCGTACAAAAGCTATTTGACGAAAAACTCACCCATTCTTATCATTCATTCTTCATCTTTCAAAGTATAATATGCGTCCTACTTAAGAAGTTGTTATAAAATAACATACGTAGTGTCGGGTCTAATAAGCAAGGCTGTGAGAAAGTATATTTAACAAACACTGTTCGCATCTACAGAAATTGTGTTTAAGCTGCAGTCAATTATTCGTGTTTTCAAATAAATGTTGAGAAATAAAGCCTTGTTAAACGCGGCTTTAACAAAATATTCATTTATTCTCTTCTCAACTCAAAAATAGTTTGATTCAATCAACATAAATGTTTTTGGAAATTTAGTAGAGACTTTAGTGATTATTGCGAATTAAAATATTTTTCACTCCAGGGCTAAAAAAATAATGTACTACTCAGACTTGTTTTGAGCACCGCACCAGTGAAACCTTCAAATTAAATGAAATATAAAACAAATGTATTTCACAACAAATGATTTTTTTAAATTTGATATTTTTCAACCACAAATACTGCATAAAATATAAGTTCCAAGTTTTATTTTATAGCAAATAAATGCTACAATCTTCATTTTTAGGCATGTAGAGCATAAATTTTAGATTTATTAATTAAATCTGAAGAATATTTTCTTTCGACTAAAAAGCTTTGTAATAGCGACGTCTACTTCATTCTATGGGTAAAGTCATTTTATCGAACAAAAATTGATTGACTCTTAAGGTCCATAAATCGGTAAGATATGATCGTGGATTTGTAAAAAATGGGTTGGATATGATAATATTATCCAGTATAATTAATTTTATTTATTTGATAAATTTCTATTATTATTTTCTTAACGGTTAAAAAACATAGAAATTTATCAAATAAATAGTTACACTTACATTCTTTAAAGCACCGCATACAGAGGAGGAGACCAAAATTAGTAAATATCTGACCCACTTCTCATGCTTCCTACATATCCATATATCTAAGCATACGTGGTTGTCGATTAAGAATACTTCTAATTTGGACTGTTTTCAATATATTGTCAGTTTGGTTGAATTCTCTTTTTTTCTCATTCAATTATTTAGAGTCGCTTCTTCTGCCTTATCCAATTCACAGCATTGTGAATTGCCATGCGTGATCACTTTGATACATTCTTACCGCAATAACGTGAAGAACTCCAATTTCTCCGTCTTGAAATTACTGCTTAGGTAAAGAAAAAGCTTCCCATAAACTGAATTTAACTAATGGCTAGTTGGCTAGACTATACTAACGATAACGCGTTCGCATACTAAGATTATCTAGAAGAAGATTACCGTTACGTCTATTAAAATATAAACGATAAATCTTCTCGATGAATCTTCTACACCAGAAGAAAATAAAAAAGGAGATGGGGAGCAACATCTTCCTAGCAATTTAAGATGAATAAAAAAGTGCGGTTAGAAACTTGCCAATAATCATGGCTTAATAAATATGTACGTATTAATAACATGTAAGTAACCAACTGAGATTATTAGAAATCTGTTATATCAATTAAATTTCAAAAAATATAAAGGTTCGTGTAAAATATTGGACACGAAGAATGCCAACCAGTATTTGTAAATAATTTTTTCTGCTGCCTTAAAGTTTCTACTAAAAGTAATTTTCAACAAAAAAATTTCCGCTACCGTTTGATTTATTGAATCTTTCCTTTAAGAAAAACCCTTGCTATCTTTTAGGAGAATTCTTTGAAGTATTAAAATGTTCCCTTGACTTTCATAGGT